CAACGCCCTGTAGTATGTCAATGGCAGATCGGCGATATGTCATAATTTTTCACACACCTCAAAACACCCTAACAATTTTTTTTAAATTATGAAACTATCACTATTACTTGCAAACACCTTTCACCTGATGGAATATTCCCCTCATAAAAATTAAAGGTGTATGTGAAAGATGTTTTAGAACAATAACTAGAAACACTCAAACAACGCCCTGTAGTATTTCAATGGCAGATTGGCGATATGTCATAATTTTCACACACACCTCAAATACACCTAACAATTTTTTTAAATTATAAAACTATCACTATTACTTGCAAACACCTTTCACCTGATGGAATATTCCCCTCATAAAAATTAAAGGTGTATGTGAAAGATGCTTAGAACAATAACTAGAAACACTCAAACAACGCCCTGTAGTATTTCAATGGCAGATCGGCGATATGTCATAATTTTCACACACCTCAAATACACCCTAACAATTTTTTAAATTATAAAACTATCACTATTACTTGCAAACACCTTTCACCTGATGGTATATTCCCCTCATAAAAATTAAAGGTGTATGTGAAAGATGTTTTAGAACAATAACTAGAAACACTCAAACAACGCCCTGTAGTATTTCAATGGCAGATCGGCGATATGTCATAATTTTCACACACCTCAAATACACCCTAACAATTTTTTTAAATTATAAAACTATCACTATTACTTGCAAACACCTTTCACCTGATGGTATATTCCCCTCATAAAAATTAAAGGTGTATGTGAAAGATGTTTTAGAACAATAACTAGAAACACTCAAACAACGCCCTGTAGTATTTCAATGGCAGATTGGCGATATGTCATAATTTTCACACACCTCAAAAACACCCTAACAATTTTTTTTAAATTATGAAACTATCACTATTACTTGCAAACATCTTTCACCTGATGGTATATTCCCCTCATAAAAATTAAAGGTGTATGTGAAAGATGTTTTAGAACAATAACTAGAAACACTCAAACAACGCCCTGTAGTATTTCAATGGCAGATCGGCGATATGTCATAATTTTCACACACCTCAAATACACCCTAACAAATTTTTATAAATTATGAAACTATCACTATTACTTGCAAACATCTTTCACCTGATGGTATATTTCCCTCATAAAAATTAAAGATGTATGTGAAAGATGTTTTAGAACAATAACTAGAAACACTCAAACAACGCCCTGTAGTATTTCAATGGCAGATCGGCGATATGTCATAATTTTTCACACACCTCAAATACATCCTAACAAATATTTTTAGTTATAAAAATATCACTATTACTTGCAAACACCTTTCAACTAAAGGTATATTTCGCTTCTAAAAATTAAACGCATATGTGAAAGAAGTTTTTAGCGATATTATTTAGTCTTTCTTCGCTGTGTACTGAGAATTGAAGCCAGTGAGCTACAACATGCCGACTTGAAACTTTACTACAAATCTACTGTACTAATACTGACACTAATAACAATTATTTGACTTAAAATGAAGTGACAGAATAGGTAACTTATCTTCTACATGTAGGTTTTCAGTTGTCACAACACTCAGCGTATGTAACCGGCTGTTGAAAATAAACCGGGTTCAATCTTAAAAACTACGCTGCCGCCATATTGGCTACACTAGTCACGTGACGAGCCGAGGCATACGCTAAGGGGCTTTCCGAGGAGTGACCACTCCCCCTTATATAGTCTCCCTGGCTGAATTAAGTCAAAATGAGTTGAATTTTGTGTCATGATGCTTATAAACATACACTCATTCATTTACAACCTCCAAAACATGAATTCTGAGCAAACTTAAACATTCTCGCCCATGGGCGAACAGTGGCCCATGGGCCGGCCCATGGGCGAGCGAGTTTAAATTTAAAGATTTCGAAATTTTTTTCTCCATTTTTTCATCCTTGGCATATATTCATAACAACTGCATGTTTAATTTGGTCAAATCCCTTGTCAGAAAGTGCCCACAGTGCGGAGAGTCCAGAATTAAATTGTGACGTGTTAAATATACTGAGTCAAAAAAGAAACCTCACATTCTTTCTTCAGGGCACTATACAAGAACAAGAGATGGTAAAATGGTTAAATTGTTATTATTTCATTGCTGAGATTCGTGTGATGTACTCGATACACTGACAGTGCCATAATCAGTTCCATTAGGCTACACCGCCGTTCCAAAACATGGGTATACAGAATGTCAAGTCACAAGAATAAAAATGCGAAATTTCTCAGTTCAATATCGTGTATGGCCGCCCCGCGCATACACCACTGCCAAACACCGTCTCCTCATCGACTGCCTGATGCTTGTGAACACGTGGTTGGGGATTCTGCGCCATTGCTCTTGCAAGGCAGCGCCAAGTTCCTGCAAATTCTGAGGTTGGCTCCTAAGACCACAAAGCCTTCTCCCAAGTGCATCCCAAACGTGCTCTATTGGATTAAGGTCAGGGGACCTCGATGGCCAGTCCATGACGTTGAATCCAGCGTTTTGAAAGACATTTCGTGTCAACATCGCGGTATGCGGCCGAGCATTATCATGCTGGAACTTGAGACCTGGGCCATGAGCCGCCATGAAAGGAACGAGTTCAGGGGGTGAGCACCTGGTCGCGGTAAGCAGCAGCTGTGAGGTTTCCACGGATGACCAGAAGTCGGGAACGGTTGTTCCCACAGAAAGCACCCCACACCATGCAACTTCCGCCCCCGAATCTGTCGACTTCCTGTACACAACATTGGGCATACCGTTCACGACGTCGTCTCCAGACTCTAAGGGTAAACCTGGGATTCAACGCTAAAGACGACTCGATTCCAGTCTCTCTGGGTCCATCGGAGGTGACGTTGGGCCCACAGCAGACGTTGACGTTGATGAAACGGCGTCAATATTGGCCCACGATATGGACGTCGAGAATGGAGATTGGCAGCCCGCAACCGATTTCGAATGGTCTGTGAGGACATTCGACCTCTAAACATCTCAGCCCTGGTTCGTGTAGCCGGCAGAAATCTGTCACGTAGGTGACGTAGGACGATTTGACGGTTTTCTGCTCGTGACGTCAGACGTGGACGACCCGACCTTGGGCGATCAGAAGTGGTGCCAGTTTGTTGTAGACGACCTCGCAAGTCATACACAGTACGACGGCTGCATCCCATTGCTCTTGCGACGTCAATAACTGATCTTCCCGCTTGCAACATGCCCAACGGCACTTTCACGTTGCACATTTGACAATCGTGGCATTTCAAGTACCCTTAGAACTGTGGTTTAAAAGTGTTTTTTCAATTCTTGAGGCCAATGGAAACACGTGCATATGAAGAAAACTTCGATGCGAAGATCACGTGATCGACTGCACGTGCAAAACCTGATTTGGCACCAACGTCATTTGCACGACGAATGGATGGGTTTGAGTAGGTTTTGCTAACGTTTTTCTAGAGTCGGAAGATAGGGATCCCATTTCGGATACATAGATGTATCATCAGAGAAAATTTATTCCTTATTTTTCAAATTACATTTTGTGAAGTTTCTTTTTTGACTCAGTATATATCATTTTTCGTCATTTAGCTAAGAGCACCCTTGATACTTCGGTTATTATATTTTCCATAAGTATTTATCAATCTGAAGGTCGCCCAAATCATCTGGCGTCCGCACATCGTTCCAACGCACCTGGGTACCACTTTTAAGCAACATTTGTCAGTTCTTTCTTGAGTTATGCGCTAACAATTTTTATATTTGCAAAACCCTCAGATTTTTGCTGTGACCTTGCAAGTTATCTCAAGGTCACTAAATTCAACTGGTGTCCGTGAATCTCGCCACGACACCTTGGTACCAAATTTGAACAAAATCCATCATATCTTTCTTGAGTTAACGCTCTAGCAATCTTTATATTGGCAAATCCATCAGATTTTTGCTGTGACCTTGCAAATTATCTCCAGGTCACTAAATTCAACTTGTGTCGATGAATCTCGCCACGACACCTTGGTACCAAATTTAAACAAAATCCATCATTTCTTGAGTTATCATCCTAACAAGCTTATCTGATGTATGAAATGCAACGAAAAACGAACACACACGTATTTACGAGTGATTAAACTGTTATTACAATTTACGTAAATAATTATTACATTTTACCGCAACTAAAATTATTACAATTTACGTCAATTTTTATTACAATTTGCGTATTGCAATTTACGTCAATTCTTATTACAATTTACGTTTTTATTACAATTTACGTCAAGGTTTATTACAATTTGCTACAAGTATTACAATTTACGTTTTTATTACAATTTACGTCGTAACAGGCCCTGAACTTGAAATTATGGAGACAAGTGAGACGGCATCAACCGTTTCATATTTAGATCTGTCCATAAGGCTGTATGACAAAAGGGATGATTTCAACTTTCCAATTTTCCAGATTAGACTCATAGTGACGAAAAACAATTATGTACTAAAGCCCTATTCGTCTCCCCTCGCCGCCATCTTTGACGATTTGTATGCCGTTTAGGGATGCTATGACTGCCGTTTAGGGATGCTGCCGTGTTGGGATGCTATGAATGCCGTTTTGTACGCTCGGCGACCGTTCTCGCGCGCTCTTGTAGCTGATACGCGACTTTTGTATCCATTTCAAACGATTTGTGTTCCATTACAGATGTATTGTTTCGGTTTTAGAGGATATTGTTACAGTTTTGGTGGTTTTTGTTCTATTTTGGTGTATGTGAGTTCAGTTTTGATGATTTGTTCACCGTTTGTATGGTAGGCCTGTTGTGTACCTCTCCCATTTCATCGTGGAGGATTCAGTCGTCTGCGCAGCGCTTACGGAAATCTGTATGCCTGATAAACGTGAGTCATCCCCAATTCAGTATCTTTCAGTAAACATACTCAGATGGCAGATTTTCAAATATCAGCAGAATATTTTCAAATGTTTATCAAGGATTATGGAGATCAGCTTTTAATTTCAAATTCATTCATAAACGTATAAACATATTGAAATAACCGGGCTTACCTTTATATCTGAGGCTGTGCTAATCTTCATCAATGCTGATAGTGTCGGATCCTTCGCGGACGCAGACGCCATGGCTGTCTAGATTTGCTGTCTTTCTCTCGGAGACACCGGCAAAGTGCACTCTCGAACTCTTAATAACTTCTCTGTTCAAGAGCTGTTAGGTATTCCCATGTTGAAACACACCCTTAACGGGCTAGCTGATCCATTTACACGTGACATGTTCCCTGGATTGAGAGGGACCTAGGTAGGTCCAATTGTAATTGGATTGTTTTCTGTGAAATAGTGTTTCATACCGCTATTGTTTCCCATGATATATTTTTCCATGTCTGTTTTGTCGACTGCTTGTGCTCCTGAAGAGGAACGTCAGATGTACAGATGCCACACATCGTGAGTGTTCACACACGCGGATACTAGTTTATCCCTCTACATCAAATTGTGTGAGAAAGAGAGATTATTATTATTATTATTATACTTTGACAGAGTGGCATTTTGTTTGTATGTTATATGGTGGGGATATAAATTGTAGATTGCGAGCCTTGTCTTGTCTTGAGCAGTAGTTCAGGCACCGCCTTCAATTCCTGGGGAATAGTTGTTTCTAGGACAATCACCGCTTTCAATTCCTGGGGAATAGTTGTTTCGAGGAAACTCACGGCTTTCAATTCCTGGGGAATAGTTGTTTCTAGGACAATCACCGCTTTCAATTCCTAGGGAATAGTTGTTTATAGCACAGAGATATGTGCAATGTGAGGCTGGCGCCTGTCCAAATAGGCCGGTCTAAAACAGGTTCTAAGTCGTTCGTGCCGCGAGCTACTTGCCTGCCGCCTTTTCAGATAACAGACGTAATACATTGTCTATCTCCATCACACACTCCCCCTTCACCGTTACATACACGCACCCCTCCGCCAACCGTTCATCTCCCAGGCAGTTCCCTCCCGTCACTGTGGGCACTAAATTACCTCTTAGACGCTGAAAATATAGAACGATGATAACTTTACAAAGTAGCCCCAATGAAATGGGAAATTCTTCATCTAGGTCTGCATGACAGATTCCGGGACTGATAGACTGTTCCCCAGTCTGCATATTTAGCCAACCACAGCACTGTTATAACCAGACTGGTACCCTCAACATTGTGGCCCAGTCTTGTCATCTACAGAGTCGAGCAAAAAGTATTCGGACACTTGACGTAATTTCCATAGACTTTCATGTTAATTTAGTGTAGTATAATTAATTTTCATGAATATAATTTTCGTAAGATCCAAGTCAAATTTTGCACATTTGTGAGGAATCATTTAACCTACAATCACATAAGTTCTGTTTAAATTTCCGTTGCTTAATTATCGAATGGCAACAATTTAATCACCATGTGTACAGTGCCTATGGGATTGTGCATGGTGGAACCATACATAAGTTGATAAATGTGCTGTCATGCGTTAAATAGTGGTCGGAAAATTGAACTGAAATTATGTGCGCAGAGCAGAGATGATTTCAAAATTGCCTGTCAAATTTTACAAAGATCCATTCTAAACTCACTTCATGAAGAGTATTTATGCTACATTGAAATAACATGTAAGTCTATGGAAATTACGTCAAGTGTCGGAATACTTTTTGCACGGGTCTGTACATTGACGATACTTTCATCAGCGTATATGTAGAAAATACATTCATATACACAGGAGATCGATCTTCACCTGTTTTATCACGGTATGCAGTGTTTTCTTCATGTTGTTTGTTCTGAGAGTCTCTGTTACTGTGTGAATGAACTGTGGCAGTAATAAGTACGTTCACTGTGGTAAACTGTCATATTGGATGTCAGGGATGAAATCTCGAATACTTTCCATACCTTATCAACTCCTGTGTTTCCTGACGCCACACACAAGTATTGTGATGTATGTGAACGTTTGTGTATCCTCACACCACACATGAGTATTGTCATGTATGTGAACGTTTGTGTTTCCTGACACCACACAGCAGTATTGTCATGTATGTGAACGTCTGTGTTTCCTGACACCACACATAAGTTTTGTCATGTATGTGAACGTTTGTGTTTCCTGAAACCACACAGGAGTATTGTCATGTATGTGAACGTCTGTGTTTCCTGACACCACACATGAGTATTGTCAAGTATGTGAACGTCCGTGATTCCTGACACCACACACGAGTATTGTCATTTATGTGAACGTCTATGTTTCCTGACACCACACAGCAGTATTGCCATGTATGTGAACGTCTGTGTTTCCTGACACCACACATGAGTATTGTCCTGTATGTGAACGTCTGTGTTTCCTGACACCACACACGAGTATTGTCATGTATGTGAACGTCTGTGTTTCCTAACACCACACGGCAGTATTGTCATGTATGTGAACGTCTGTGTTTCCTGACACCACACAGCAGTATTGTGATGTATGTGAGAGTCTGTGTTTCCTGACACCACACACGAGTATTGTCAAGCATTGAACGTTTGTGTTTCCTGACACCACACACAACTATTCTCATGTATGTGAACGTCTGTGTTTCCTCACACCAGACAGCAGTATTGTCATTTATGTAAACGTTGGTGTTTCCTGACACCACACACAAGTAGTGTCATGTAAGTGAACGTTTGTGTTTCCTGACTCCACACATGAATGTTGTCATGTATGTGAACGTCTGTGTTTCCTCACACCAGACAGCAGTATTGTCATTTATGTGAACGTTGGTGTTTCCTCACACCACACACGAGTATTGTCATTTATCTGAACGTCTGTGTTTCTTGACACCACACAGCAGTATTGTCGTTTGTGAATATATGTGTTTCCTAACAGAACACAGCAGTATTTTCACTTATGTGACTGTTTCTCTTTCCTGACACCACACATGAGTATTGTCATGTATGTGAACGTTTGTGTTCCTTGACACCACACAGCAGTATTGTCATGTATGTGAACGTGTGCCTTTCCTGACACCACACACGAGTATTGTGATGTATGTGAACGTCTGTGTTTCCTAACACCACACAGCAGTATTGTCATGAATGTGACTGTTTGCGTTTCCTGACACCACACACGAGTATTGTCATATATGTGAACGTCTGTGTTTCCTGACACCACACACGAGTATTGTGATGTATGTGAACGTCTGTGTTTCTTGACACCACACATGAATATTGTCATGTATGTGAACGTCTGTGTATCCTCACACCACACACGAGTATTGTCATGTATGTGAACGATTGTGTTTCCTGACACCACACAGCAGTATTGTCATGAATGTGACTGTTTATGTTTCCTGACACCACACAGCAGTATTGTCATGAATGTGACTGTTTGTGTTTCCTGACACCACACAGCAGTATTGTCATGTATGTGACTGTCTGTGTTTCCTGACACCACACATGAGTATTGTCATGTATGTGAACGTCTGTTTCCTGACACCACACAGCAGTATTGTCATGTATGTGACTGTCTGAGTTTCCTGACACCACACACGAGTATTGTGATGTATGTGAACGTCTGTGTTTGTTGACATCACACATGAGTATTGTCATGTATGTGAACGTCTGTGTTTCCTGACACCACACAGCAGTATTGTCCTGTATGTGAACGTTTGTGTTTCCTCACACCACACAGCAGTATTGTCATGAATGTGACTGTTTGTGTTTCCTGACACCACACACGAGTGTTGTCATGAATGTGAACGTCTGTGTTTCCTGACACCACACAGCAGTATTGTCATGAATGTGACTGTTTGTGTTTCCTGACACCACATACGAGTATTGTCATGAATGTGAACGTCTGTGTTTCCTGACACCACACATGAGTATTGTCATGTATGTGACTGTCTGAGTTTCCTGACACCAGACATGAGTATTGTCATGTATGTGAACGTCTGTGTTTCATGACACCAGACACGAGTATTGTGATGCATGTGAACGTCTGTGTTTCCTGACACCACACACGAGTATTGTGATGTATGTGAACGTCTGTGTTTCTTGACACCACACAGGAGTATTGTCATGTATGTGACTGTTTGTGTTTCCTGACACCACACATGAGTATTGTCCTGTATGTGAACGTCTGTGTTTCCTGAAACCACACAGCAGTTTTGTCATGTATGTGAACGTCTGTGTTTCCTGACACCACACACGAGTATTGTGATGTATGTGAACGTCTGTGTTTCCTGACACCACACATGAGTATTGTCATGTATGTGACTGTCTAAGTTTCCTGACACCACACAGCAGTATTGTCATGTATGTGAACGTTGGTGTTTCCTGACACCACACAGCAGTATGGTCATGTATGTGAACGTCTGTGTTTCCTCACACAACACAGCCGTATTATCATTTATGTGAACGTTGGTGTTTCCTGACACCACACAGCAGTATTGTCATGTATGTGAACGTCTGTGTTTCCTAACACCACACAGCAGTATTGTCATGAATGTGACTGTATGCGTTTCCTCACACCACACACGAGTATTGTCAATCATTGAACGTCTGTGTTTCCTGACACCACACACGAGTATTGTCATGTATGTGAACGTCTGTGTTTCCTCACACCAGACAGCAGTATTGTCATTTATGTGAACGTTGGTGTTTCCTGACACCACACACGAGAGTATTGTCATGTCAGTGAACGTTTGTGTTTCTTGACACCACACACGAGTATTGTCCTGTATGTGAGCAGACAGTTCCGATAGAGCGACGAGGCAGTCGGTGCATCGGTTGTGTCTGTCCTTAGGTCCCAGATAGGAGTAGTCGGCGAGAATGATTCGGAGTTTGCCCACCGAGGGTCGAAATTGGTGGGGTGAGTAGATGTAGACGAAATCGATTATTTTGCCGGCTTCTACTAGTGGGTGAAAGCACAGCAAACAGAGTTCAAGATACTGGTGAGGGATGTGGTAGCACTCGTAGAAGGTGTGCCCCGATTGCTCCCGGATTTGTTTCTCTCAGTCCGAAAGCAAAACGTGGGGACACTTCTCCAGCAGACACTCGAAGACTTCAGCCATGTCGGGAGTTGTCGTCGTCTGTGGCTCAGGGTCTATACCACCTAGGATTCGCGTGTATCGGGCTTGCGATATGTGGTACTTCCTTTTCGCTTCCCACCCTCTAATTGGGAGTTGGGACCCGATCGGATCTCGGTATAGGCTTCACGCGAGAGCTTGGTTCCTGGCATGTTTCTATATCAATGCACCCACATAGCTCTAATTGGGAGTGCACTTTTGTTGGGAGCCGCCGAAAGTGGTCTTGTCGAAGTTTTGTGCAACCACTCATTTTTACAAGGCTGGTAGCAGAATTAGCCCGTATGGAAGCTTCTAGGCAAGGTGTACCTATACGTCTTTTTCTCCCCATTCCCTATACTACTTCTTGGCTTCACACCCTCTGCACATGTACTGGTCGATAGCTT